ACTTTTCTCAACAAAATCTCCTTGAAAATGTGGCAGCGATTCTATTAGATTTTTATTGGTGATGTCGAATGTCATTTCTGTAACTATTAATCTAGTTATTTGACCTGGATTTTAGAAGTAGAATAATCAACTTAATTGACCGGTATGCAGCAGGAACCCGCGGTCATACAGATTATAATGGAAATATTCTATTGTTTTTACAATGGTTAACAGTTCTTTTCTGGTGACATAGTAATTTATTTTCTGATTTTAGAGGGCTTTTGCTAGAACAGACCAATACGGTAAACCCTTGCTGAACGCGGATTTGTGAAACTCTTATTTCACTTATGCGCATTATCCTAATTGTTTCTATTTAATTTTCCCAGCGGTAAAATATCATATATACGCATTCAGTGTTCAGTGTTCATTCACCAACATTTAATGCTTTTTGTATTGGCATCAACTCTGGCCAGAAGTTGCCAACAATTTTTTAAATGATTTCCATTTATTGAAAATGAAGAAAACGTACAATTGGAAAAGCGACTGGCGGCGAAGGTTTTTCAGATATGGCAGAAGTCAAAGAATTAATTAAGAAATGACGATTGAAGAATTGGATGATCTTATAACACCAGTGTCATGTTGAGGAGATTACTACAAGGATAAAGGACAGATAAAGGATTTTGAAGAGACTTGCAGGTGCGAGGTGGGGATGCAGCTGAGACACTCTTAATTGAACGTATATTAGACCTATTTTAACTTATTGCTGCGAGCCTCTTATAACATATTGTAAATAGGTAATGAATAAAATGGAAGCTGCTCAAAATCAAATCCTGAGATTGATTACTGGGGAAATTAAAAACCACGCTAATTCAGGCTATGTTATTGCTTACCGATAATAAACCAATCGAAGAGATTATTCAGGAAAAGGCCTTGTGTCTTTATGAAAAATTAATTCGTCTTCCAGGTAACACCTACTTGAGAAATTATGACACAAACAAAAATATAAGATTAAAAACACAGACAGGTCCTGTCCAGAGAATCTTGACCATAAAAGAGAGACTTGATATCCTTCCTGCTGCTGAAATTTTTCTAAATTAATTAGACCCTCTGTGTCTTGGTTGTTTGGAGTCCACTTAATCCAGCCTGTGCATAAGAAAATGATAAGCGAATCGGAGATGAGGGCGGTTGCTCTGGAGACTATACACATTGGTTAGGACTGGTTGCATATACATACGGATGGATCATGTCTGTCTCAGAACGGAAATACAGGAGCTGGTGTCTTCATTCCGTTTGTAACCACTCTATTTGGTGTACCACTCCATTTAGTGGAGAGGTAGAGGCCATTATGTTAGCTTCACAACTGCTTACTAGGTGTGAGAGTTTTGATAATGCTGTTATTTTGTCAGATTCTATGTCTGCAATACAGGCTAATAGCTCTTTGAAACCTGCCAACTTGCAAAGTATTGAAGACTGTATACCTTGTGGAGTCATTAAGATTTTTTTTCGAAACCAGAGAGATGAAAAATGAGCAACGCCTTCTCCGGGAATCGAACCACGGACCTCTGGAATATGCGCCCAGCATGCAGACCACTACACCACGAAGGGACGCTAAGAAGGCTGGAGAAATGCCTTATAATCTAATTTAAGTACATTACAAACCTTACATAAAAAAAAAAAAATAATTTACAGTGGGTTCCGGCTCACTGTGGAACATTTGTTAATAAAATGGCTGACTCTTTAGCTAAAAAAAGAACCAAAGTCCTACAGATTCCATCGAGTCCTGTGCGAGTAATAAAAGAACGCACAAATAATGACTTTTGATCCAGGCAAGCAGAGCGAATTAGAGAAAAGCGTTAGAAGGATTCTCTTTTAAAATACCTACTCCCCAAGACGAATCGCTCTTACAACCTTTCCGTTAGAGACTGGACATGATTGTCTTGCCGGTCATTTATTTAGATTTGCGATCTTTTCGTCCCCTAACTGTACATTATGTGGGAGAGACACTGTTATGGATGCTTATATCTTAAGAGTGTGGGAAGTTAAGAAAAAAAAAGGTGGAAAGGTGCGGGCATGCATACCTGGCAAGCTAGTTTACTCGGAACTGCTAATTTTAGCAGCAAATTTCACTTATTAGAAATCGTTTAAAGAATTTTTCATATGCTAAAGTGAACTATGTTTTCAGTTTTCAGTTCTACTAAAAATTATTATTCAGTTAAAAAAAAAAAAAAAAAGAAAAAAAGAAAGAAAGAAAGAAAGAAAGAAAAAGAGAGGGGAAACTTGCCTGTGATTTGTAGAGCTTAGATTATAATTTCGGGGTCTTCAAAGAAATTAAAGTATAAAGTTAAAAAAAAAAAAAAAAAAGTTAAAAAAATTAATGTGTAGCATGATTAACAAATTGTGCTAGTTAGGTAACATATGGGGTTAGAAATTACTTTTGTTAATTACAACAATGCTGTAATGTTCATAAAATATATCAGTGGGTGCGGCAGTGAATCATGATTTGACAACAGCGCTTGTTGTGGTTTGGCTGAAGTGAGGAAAACGGTTCTACAGTCAACTTCTAAAAGCAGTGTGCAGGAGCGCAAGTGCTAATGCGGTAAAGGCATTTTATAAAAACATCAACAGGTACGTGATCGCTCAGCTTGAATTTCTAAGAGAGTTCAAGATCCATCGTAATAATGCCGTTCCATCAGTCCATGACACTGAGAAATGGGTATGAAACTTTGAGGCCACTAGCTCGACTGCAAGAGGTGGTAGTGAAAAAAACAGTGCATACACCAGAGAACAAAGCGGCAGTGAGAGAGCCTGTTAAACGGACGCCACGCTGCTCTGCGCGTCGTCATTCTCTAGTACTTGCTTTTCAGACTGCAGCGTTCGACGGATCTTGCATAAAGATCTTCATTTCCATGCCTACCAGATTTAAATTGTTCAAGAAGTACGGAAGTAGGACTGTAGAAACAGACTTATGTTTTGTCGGACATTTCTGCAGTTAATTAAAGGAAACCGGACTTTTTAACAATTTACTAATGAGTGACGAAACCCATTTCCATTTCTTAGGATACGTTAACGAGCAAAATTTCCGTTAGTGGTCTAACACAACAGCTTGAATATTACTGAGTGGTGTGCTACATCTTCGTTTGCAATTACTGGTCCGTACTTCTTTGAAGATGAAAGGGAAAGGACTGTAACTGCGAAAGAGGAATGCTATGTTCACCCATTGGAGAACTTCTTAGCTCCTGCAATTGTTCATCTTCCTGTGAACGAAAACACGTTCTTCCAACAAGGTAGGGCTTCTAGTCACACCATGGCTAGTTTCCATGGTAACTGTAAGGAACCTGTTTCCCAATCATGTTATCTGCAGACGTAGGGATATTGATTAACCAGCCAATCTTGTAGCTCTCGAGTCGTATTTATATATGGTGTCAGATTGATTAGATTAAATTTGAAAGAAAGGGATTTTTTGCTTTGCTAAATAACTACACTGTGAAAAATAGCTATGCGTGAGAGATGTGGAAGATAAAGTTTGTTTTGCACTGTACAACATTCATTCTTTATTAATTATAACAAAGCTCCAAATGTTCGTAAACGTTATCAATATGATGGTGAACGTATTTTAATTTATATCAGCCGCCCATACGGTATAGTGGTAAGGGGAGCCTACTGCGGTACCGAAAGGCCCGCGTTCAAGTCCTGGAGAAGGCATGAATGTAAATGTGTAGTGCCCGTGCGCATTCGGACACACCTTCTGGGGTGCTTTCCATCAAAATTGGGGGGGGGGGCGGAATTGAGCGAAGTCATACTGTCACCTGTCTGGTCCTCAACGCTCGACAGGCGCAATCTTGCAGTCCTTGCCACAATGAATTTTGTGGACTTGTTCTGCTGTTACTGTCAGATAAGTGAGAAAAGTCACAGCACAAGTAATTTATATCAGTTAGGTATGTCATTAAAAAAGTAAAATAATTAAAAGTGCGGAAATTATAAATGGAAGAATAATTTCGTTTATTGATTTTAATTCTCTCAATTAGTCAATTAATAACAGATTGGTTTAAATTTGGAACTTAAAATTAAAAATCTTATGTTTTTTATTTATTTATTTTTATTATTAATGGCAGGATTCTTAAGAATATTCTATGTACGAAGGTACGTGTTCGCGCAGCGAGAGCTATTCCCAAGGTCTACTTCTAGATTCTTTTAATCTATTCAAGAACGCAAGTAATAGACTGCTTTGATAAGTGGGTGCATAATTTGTAATAGTATCTGTGCTTAAATTCAGCAAACAAATTCGATAGAACAGATAATAAAGTATTAAACAAAATGTGTTTTTAATGTATCTAATTTGATATTTTCTTTTTTTTTTTTAATGGATTTGATTATGAAATGGAAAATTTAGGGGTTAAAAATGTTATATATTTTAGTTCTCTTGGTTTTAAGCAGTTTATTGTCTCATGTTTTGTCATTGAGAGTATAGTCGGCCATTAAACTTAAGAACTAATTCGCAGTAGCAGACCTACAGGAAAACTTCTTGTGTTTTTTTCATCACAAGACTAGATTCTAATCTTTGAAACCTTTTATTATAATGAATATATAAACTAAACTGTTAACAATCGATGATTATTTTTTTAATCCTTTTGAAATCGAAGTGTGTAAAAAACAGTGGACTAGAATGCCACGTGGATTGCGTATATGTTTGTGTTTGAAATTAGATCAATTTCTTTACTTATTTAATAACTTCGGACGAATGGTAATATATTTAGCAGAGAAAACCTTTTTAATTAACAACGAACTATTTTATTTAGCATTCTAAACATATCAAAAGGAATAACATCCCATGCGTTATCACGCTCAAAGTAATATGTAAACAACATCACTGTTGCCACAAAAAATCTACATTATAATTAACATATTAAATTATTGTGTATTATACACGTTCCTGAACATCCTCCCCCCTTGCAATTTTAGAAAATTGCAACGTATTCTCTACTCAGTTCATCAGTTTCTAGTTCTGATTCTTCAGAGAGAGGCTATTTATCCGGCTCCTTTTTAAGCCAATCCGGCCACTTCCACCATCTGCTCTGTAACAACATTTTGGCATCGCACCCTCTAGAGGAAAGATCAGCTAGATTGCTTGAGTTTGGTACATAATGCCAGTCGTCCGGATTTGTGCATCTCCTTATTTCAGCTACATGATTTGTCACCAAAACATTCCAGTGGGAGTCTTTTTTGATCCATGTCGGAACTTCAGACGAGTCACTCCAAAGGTACACTTGGCACTTTGTCAATTTAAGAACGTCAGTGACTTGACGATACAGCCGAGTAGCTATAAGTGCTCCAAGCAACTCTAATCTAGGAATAGTCACTTCTTTGGCAGGCGCTACTCTTGATTTACATAATACCAATTGTACTGAAGTTTTGCCCTCAAAATATGCACGTAAGAAAATGCATGCTGCATAAGATACCTTACTAGCATCACTACAACAATGTAGAGAGATAGAGCAGTCATCGAAGGGTCCAATCACAAGTCTTCTTGAAATTTTACAATAATTCAAGAAGTGTAGTCTACTGAGCCAAGCCTGAAATTCTCTTTCTATGCTTTGTGGAAGATTTTCATCCCAGGAAAGTTTCATCTTCCATATTTTTTGCAAAATGAGTTTTGGAATTAACGTGGTTGGACTTGTAAATCCGATGGGGTCGAATATCCTCTGTGAGACTGACAAAAGAGATCGTTTCGTGTGTGCACTCTCCGAAAATGTCAAAGGGTTTAAATTGCAATAGATTTCATCATTCTCGGTGTCCCATGAGAGTCCCAGAATTGGAATGACCTTCTGATAGGAAGTCATGCTTCTATCTTTGAATGGTGCAGAAGTCCACCTTCTAAGGTCAAAACCTCCTGAAGACATTAGAGTTTGGGACTCTTCTTTGAACTTGACTACTTTTTCTTCAGTTTCGAAACTAGCTATACAATTGTCGACATAAAAGGATTTCTTCAATCTAAGTGCCGTTCCTCTTAAATCTTGTGGAGCATTATCCAAATGGTAAGAAATCGTTGCTCCCAACAGCAATGGACTCGAAGAAATGCCGAACACGACACGACAGTGTCTGTAGATAATAATCTCGGTTTTGTTTGAATCTTTCCACCACAGGAATTTCAAAAAGTCTCTGTCTCTGATACACAAACTGATTTGTAAGAAAGCTTTCCTTATATCGGCAGTACAGTAACACCAATTGCATATTGCCGGAATTGTATCAAAAGTTTTGGAAGCATTTCTATTAAATTCGGTCCCCTTTTCGAGGCAAGCATTCAAGGAATTCCCATTTTCATCCTTCAATGATGCATCAAATACAGGTCGCACTTTCGTAGTCAGACTGGGAATCCTTGATTACTGCTTGATGAGGTAAATAGTGACCAGTATCACTATTATTCGGAGCTATTTCAATTATTACCTTCCTCGTGCCAGTCTTTAATAATACCATCATATTCTTCGAAAAATTCCCATCTTCTGCAGTCTTCGTGTATTGGGCGAAAAGTCTTTTTTCCGCTTTATCTCTTATTATCTTCAAGAATCCGATGACTATCCTTCCAAGGCAAACAGACTTCATACCTATTGCCCTCGATTAGGAAACTTTTAATGTTTTCTAGGAAAAATTTGATTCGTTTCATTGTCTAAACTTCCGCCGGATCTTAGTTATGCCAATGAGATCCATAGTTCCATAGTTCTGTGAGATCCAAATAACAAATAAGTCCGACGGTATCCAAGCAAGGTATTATGACTTCGCACCGGGCCTTGTAGGGTCCAACCCAATTTTGTTTCAATGGCAATAAGGTTTTTTGTCAATTGGAATGATATTATTCGTCATCAACTGTCCGGAATAGTCGGCTCCTATTAACAATCCGATATCTGGTATATCTCTTCCAGAATCACTGATTTTGATTTTATGTTCTCGAAGTGAGGAGCATATGTGCTTGAGTTTCACTCTAGGAATGTATCCACAAATTTTGTCTTTATCTAAAACCGATAATTCGTATTTGAATTTATTTTCCGTTCCTTGTATTTCGAATAATCAAAAATACCATGGACCTGAGATTCAGCTTCAACTTCACCAAACAAATTGTGGCTCAAAGTCTCTTGATCTAATGGCACTAAATCTAGTCTCTTTATTATGTCTTTCCGTAAGTAAGATCTTTGTGACCCACTGTCAAAAAGCGTCTTCACAAGCTCCTTTTTTCCATTATGGACAATCTTCACCATAATAGTTTGGAGAAGAGTTGTTTGCAGTTTTTTTGGTTAGACAATAAAGTCTCACTCGTTTCGTTAGCTGCTTTAGGTGCTTCCTTTTTTGAACTTCTAGAACCTTTTAGTTCTCTGCACATCACCGTTACATGACGTTTGTTGCAAACTAGGCATTTCACAGAACTTTTACATTTTTCGGCAGCATGCCCAATTTTTAGGCAGTTAAAACAAGCTTTTTTCTTTCTTAGTAAATTTTTCTTATCTTCCAATGAAAGGCTGTGCAGCTTAAAGCACTCATAAGAATTATGTGTTTCCTTGTCACACCAAAACACAAAAATTAAGCTGTTTCTTCTTTGAATCTCCTGCATAAATACAAGCTGCTGTGGCTGGAACCGAGTCAAATTTGTCTGGAGCAGAAAAACTTGTACGGGCCAAATGAAGACGCTCTTCACTTTCAACTTCAATTCGGAGAAAATGCAATAAATTTTCCAAATTTTCAGTGTGTGCAACACTTTCCCTACGCTAGCGAGATCGCTCCCATGCCCTCAGAATTTCTTCAGATAGTGAAGACTCTACAAGGGGCTACAGCATAGCTGCATAAATCTTCACTTTTTACCCCCAACGTCTTCCAAAGCTCTGAGTTGCGTCTCTAACTTATCATATAAGTTGGATAGAGTCATATTTTCCTTTTTTGCCAGCTTGAGCCAAAACCAACTTTAATAATTCGTGAACATAGATTTCTACCAGTAATTCGTCTTAGCGTGCAAATCGAGATTTTAGCTGCTTGATAGCTTCTTTATAATTCGCACCTGAGGGAGGATAACTATCTATGAGCTCTCTCGCTGGGGATCCAACGACAGTTTCCTTGCAATAGGTATTGAAATTTGTCATCGTCATCTATATTTACATCTTTCGTCGATCTTCTTAAACTGTCCCAAAAATTCCTAACCAATTTCGGGTCTCCCCGTATTGAATTTTTTGAAGCTCCAACTTTGGTAGTTTAAAGTTCCTTCTTCGTGGAATTTTCTAAAATTCCAGGTGTAATTACAGGAGTGGAATTCACCATTTGTTTACTACTTTTTGTTTTTAAACTGATATATTTATCACGATATGTTTCATTCGTGTCTCAAAATCAGCTAAATATTCACTTTCGTTTTGACCTTCCAATAAAAGTTCGGAAATTTGTGACTGAACTTCATCTAATCTATTGAATTTTCTTTCCAACTGTAAGCTCAATAAATAGTTGGAGTTGATTAACTTCCACGTCAGGCTTTAGAATTTTAGCATCTAAAGCATTGGCAGTAATCGTAAACGATTGCCTTAGTGGCTTACGCTTTTTTAATAAAATTTCCATGATTTTAAATTCAATATGTCCAATATATTCAAACAATAAAGGATATAATCAAATAAATCATAAACTCACTTGATAAATTCCAATACGAAATCGATATTTCGTTTTCAACCGTTGTTTCGTTTTCTTCAAATAGCCATTCCGTCCTGTCAAAGGACGCCAGTTGTTTGAAATTAGATCAATTTCTTTACTTATTTAATAACTTCGGACGAATGGTAATATATTTAGCAGAGAAAACCTTTTTAATTAACAACGAACTATTTTATTTAGCATTCTAAACATATCAAAAGGAATAACATCCCATGCGTTATCACGCTCAAAGTAATATGTAAACAACATCACTGTTGTCACAAAAGATCTACATTATAATTAACATATTAAATTATTGTGTATTAACTGAGTTCGTGCACGTTCCTGAAGAGTTTGTCTTCCAGCTATTTGCACTTGAGAAGCCTTTGCATACCTTATCTAAGATCATTATTTCGAATGTTTATGTAAAACTCAAAGGGGAATAGCATCAATCCATATAAAGAACATTGGAATGTTTATGTAAAACTCGAAGAGGAATGGCATCAATCCGAATAAAAAAAATCTTAAGATTATAAAGCGGTAAACAAAGCGATTCTATGTCTAGCTGATGTTCTACGCTGAAGTTAATCGTCAGTAAATATCGAAATAAGGTACATTGGTTTCAAAAACTGTTTTTCATATTCTGAAGCACTTAAAATAGTAGTCGTTCCAGGTTTATTAATGTTCTCAAGTCTGTTTTACATGGAATATAGTTGTACCAACTTGTAAAACGAAAAATTAGGTACGTTTCGGTTTGTTGGATACAAAAGTTGGAATCGAATTTCCCTCCCAATAAAATAGGGAATTATTTCTTTTTCTATTTCATTTTTATTAACTCTTATTTTAAGCTCGATATTAAAGTATAAAATGCAAATCGGAATGCAACTTTTCTCTTCTTGACAAATTTCCAACTCAGCAAGCATAAGCTTGCGTAGTTAATTAATTGTTCGCACGATTAAAGAGCAAGCGACAATCAAGAAAGAAATGTTTCTTGCTAAAAGGCGATAAATCCTTCATTTCAACAATTCCTTCTTCACATATAAACGAACCGAAAGTTGGACCCGAATGAAAAAAGGAAAGGACAGTTTTGGAGATACTTCTCTTCCTCGGAATGGGCTGTGTTGAGTAAAATAAATTTGCTTTATCTTATTAAAATGTCAAAAAGCTGAAGCAAAAAGAATTATTTAAGAGCTCGTTTTAGAAATTATCCAGAATTTCTTCAGTTTCTGAAATATACATTAAAAAAAGGGGGGACAGTTTCTTACTTATTAAAGTGCATCAATTCCGTTAAAGGATTGGCTTGAAATGTGTTTGAATCTGTTTTGTTAAGAACTTTAACACTGTTTACTATTGTTTACATTTATTAGTATCCTTGACCCATGGTACAACCACGCCTCCTCGGCTAGTGAAGTTATCTACACCATTTGAAGAACAAACAAACACCAGACGAACAGATTTTACGTCATAACGTACATCTTGTCAGGCAGATGTCGCGTCTTATCAGTTACAATGTTTACAATCGGAATAAAAACGGTTTCTTTAGAATTTTTATCGAGCAAACAAATAAGAAGTATATATATATATATCTTTTTTTCTTCTTTTTAAAGATTAACAGAACACGAATTCTCGTATTTCTGTTGTTTCCTCTGTTATTAAAAAAAAAGGAGTGTGTCAAAAGTGCTATTATAAGCGTCCGATTCGATATGTTCACTTATAAGAACTCAGACAGTCTAGAACAGGGTTTCTTAAGCTTTTTGCTGTGAGAGCCCATAATATTTACGAAAATTTTGTGGGACCCCTCGTAAGCATTGCTCAAATCCGACACACGCGTGAGTAAAACTATCAATTTTTTTCACTTATACTGTAATGAAGTATTAGGTAAACTTTAATTTTAAAAGTAAAATAAAAACGTTTCTATTATAAAAAAATGCGTCAAAAGGTTTTCATTTTTTCTTTGCCTGTCTTATCTTTATTTTCAGATACATTATGTAAAAATATTTGGCAATTGTAAAATTATTATAATAAGTTAAGGAAATATGAAAATTGCTAAAATTTTTGGGGAACCCCTACTGCAGGTTCCGCGACCCCAGTTGAGGTCACGGCCCACAGTTTAAGGAACTCTAGTCTTGAACAAGGGTTTTCAACCGAGGGTGCAGGAGGGATTTCTTTGTTTGAAAGGGGGAATGCGGTCAGCCTTTCATTTAACTGTCAAGTATTTATTGCAGTTTTAGTTTATGAACGTAAAATCTATTTTTATTCAAGTATTTATCAACATTTTCTGTACTTTTCTTTCTTTGTGTTCTTTCTTGGTTCGCTTATTAAAATCATTTCCCTTGCAAACATATTTGAGTTAATTAAGTAGCTGAGTTTAGTAAACGGCGATTTAGTATTGCAAAATATGATTTCGCTTTTAAACTTTAAATTAGAATAATAGCTAACAGTTAATCCAGTAATTAATTCTAAAATAAGAATTAAAAATTAATGCTAAAATCAAACTATTACGCAATTTCGAAATTCATTTTTAAAAATTTCTCATAAAACTATTTTTATAATTACATTATTGATGAGATTTAATCGCTTGAAAACAAATATTCTATCTATGTTTGATAACTCTGTTCAGGAACAGTTCTCAATTTTGTAAAACTGCTGGCAGCTGTTATTATCAGCACCTTTCAATTCAAAAGGTTTTCTTAGAATTTGCAGTACTTTTCTAGATTCGACTGATGTGATCATCACTTTTTCTTTATCGTTTTCGCTATTAATTTTTTTAAAAATTCTTTTAACACTTTCTAGTCAAGTTTACACCTGTTATCACAGTATGTTTGCGAATGACACATATTATTATGAATCTGCGTAACAGTCACTGATGTCTCAAATATTACCTAGAACTTGCAGTTTCTGTTAGGCTTCTTCTACATAAAAGCCACAGTTCTGAAAACACTTTTTAA